TGCGGTTGCGGTACGTAGAGCGCGACGGGGATATTTTGGAGAGGGGCCGCTTCGTTTGTTTACATTGCGCGCTGTGATCTGAGCTGTGATTGGATGGCAGTTGAGGGACGGCCCAAGCTCTGGACCCCTTGGCTCTGTGATCTTTGGCGGGATGAAAGTGGGGGGGGGGGGGGCACAGTGAAAGTTCAGAGAAGCCATGGGTTTCTACGCTTTTTTGGCTGCGAATTCACAGTGGAAATTTCGTGGTGCTTCTTCTCTTGACGATTACAGTACGACCAGTGTTTACTCGGATGGCCCTCGACGTGCTCCTCGTGGGTCAGAAGACAAGGGGAGCGCCTGGCTAGGGACCCACGGCCACTTATTCTCGAACCCTCTCTTGTTTCAAGAAAACCGGCGTATCTCAGCTTGTTTGGCCCATGGCATGTTGTATCCGCACACTGCCTATCGCCTATATAGTATAGCAGGCCGTCCACGTGCTCCTGTCTCTTTTATCCCGAGGAATGCGGTGCAAAGAGACCGTTGGATCTAAGCAGTGCCGAAGGCATAGCCCAAGCCGAGCGTGAGCCACGATGGCCCGCGCTTCGAACTCAATTCTCGTCGGTATCTACTGCGTAGATTGACCAGTGCCAATCCCGTGGGGAACAGTCTCTACCTCTGCTTCTCAGTCCTGGCCCTTGGTCTTGTCGGAGGGCTAATGTTCAGCGATACTTGAAATTCTCTTGCTTTCACGTTGTCTCGCAGTGAATCACGTCTGCAATGTTGTCTCGTACATAGGCTTCCATATAGCTAATGAAAGCACATGAACTTTACCTTGATCTATATCACACATATTACCATCAGAGATTAGCGAACGCTTGCTTTCAAAGTTATTACTCGGATTTCACAATCTCATATCACTCTTGGAATAAAGACTTAGGTCAATCTGGTTTGAAACGTCATTCTTCGATGGCCATTATCTATAATTCCGAGCGGTCGTCGATGCGTTGCAGCAAATCCCAATCCAACCTGTTAGGGCCAGAGGCCCAATGCTCACGAGAAGCCTCAATGTTGAGCCACCTATCCAGTGTATAAAGTTGGCACCCGCACAGCCGTAGACTATTCCATGGTATAAATGCATGTGTGCCCTGCCACCCTTGTCCATGCCTATCCTTGTTGAAATGTGTACCCGCCAATATAAACAAACAGTCCTTAACGCCGCCGATTGAGAGAGGTTTGATTTCTCAATTTGATGATCCTACCAATGCCACGCCGCCTTTTCAATGTGTAGAAGCGATGGCACCTGTGATGCCCAGCAAGGCCATTCCCATGAAACCGAAAAAGATGCAGAGATTCCGATTGTGGTTCAAACTTAGCGCCTCAACAAAGAGCTGAAGGCCGACGCTCACCATGATTCCAGCCGTAATGGCAAACATGCAAGCGTAAGAGACAGCATTCGGCGTGAGGTGAGTATGCTTCGCAAGTTTGAACCACAACACAGCAATGCCCGCACCCAAAGGCTGGCTAAGGCCACCGAGGATCGCGGCCCAGAACATAGCCCTCATGCGACTCCCAAGCGCCATGTACAACGGCAGTGCCATGGCAAATCCTTCAGTGATGTTGTGGACGAACAGCGCCATGAAGACATTGAAACCCAGTGCCGGATTTGCGTGGTTCGTTGCGTAAGTAATGAAACCCTCTGGGAACTTGTGAAGCGCAATGGCGATTGAAGTCTGCAAGCCTAGAGAGAGGAAGGCATTGGTAGGTACGTGATGATGATGTTGCGCCTCGACATCTTCGTCCGCGTGTTCGCCGTCACCGTGAGCGTCATGATCGTGATGCGATTGATCGTGGCCATGACTGTGACTGTGGTCGTGGTGGTGATGCGTCTCATCGTGCTCCGGCACCGGCAGAGGCTCCCTCGAAGCTGCGCGGCTAGTTCGCATTGTCCCACTGATTGGAGAATTACACGAGGAACCACCCTCTTCCAAGTCTTCCAAATCCGTATGGCTAGGAGCGTAAAAGTGCCCTGTATTGGTGCGCAGGATAGCCGGAGGCTTTGATGTGGATGTCGAGCGGCCGTTCAGGTGCTTGAAGCACTCCTGACCACAAGGATCCGTGTATCCAAAGCATGGCCCCTCTTCGTCGCAATTCGTCTTCGTGTCTTTGACGAAGGACATGACCCGTTGTTGGACTTGGGCCATGGACGGTCGTCTATCCACGGTGGGGCCACGGCTTCGCGAGGGTCGGGTCGTGGGGGTAGCGTGATTGGTGCTGAGACTCAGATTGCCCCTACTCGAGGCATGGCGCTTCGCCATGGGTGGTGCGCCGTTCTCGTGTGCAACCTCTCCATTCAGAAGTGGTGTAGACTCGGTAGCGTGGCCATTCTTTGCTATTCTATCAACAAGCGGCCGTCGAGAAGAGCGGCGACTAGAGGTATACAAAGAAGTCTTTCTGCTCTGGCTGCGCGATCGGGTATCGGTCTCGTTATGGTCATGCGTATGGTCGCAATCGACAACGTGAGATGGCATGTACTGATGCAGTAGGCGTGAAATGACCTGAATGCCAACAAAGCCTCCAATGAAGCAGGCCATGATAAGGAACCCAGCGATCTGGTCTTGGAAGCCATCCTCCTTAAGGTATTGTTTTGCGGATGGGAGCATGTTGTTCAACGCTGAGTAAAGCTGTTTTGCAAATATAAAGTCAGTATGCGTTCGCCAGAATCCGATTGCGTGAGCTTCTGGGGTTCAACCCACCATGACACCGAAACTCAGACTTAGAGAGCATGCCAGGAAGGCATTGCTGTCTTGTATCCTAAAGTTGCGTTTCCCGGGGAGGTATCGTATAACGAGGTCGACACAGATGATAGATGCGCCCACGACACAAGCTGTCAAGCAAGCAAAAGGTTAGCCTATGTTCGTCGTAGGAGGCCAAGGCAGGACGCAGTGCGTGTTTGATCACCCACCTATTCCGCTCACGATGCACATGATCCACCCCCTGGTGTCGTTGTCAAGTTCCGTCGACTCCATGATGGGCAGCTCAGCTCAACACCTCCAATCGATGGCTGTAGGATGTCTGTGTGCTCGGCGCATGCAGAATGGGATGCGTGATTTGATCTTCTTCTCGTATGCGATTCGACCTATATGGTTCTCGAGTATCGTCGCAATCCCAGGAATTTGAATACGGTATATGGTTTAGGTGGCTGCGTCCGCAGCAGAGCGGCAGGCCTCTGACGTAGGGTAAGGTTGTATGTGCGCAAGGACCCGGTTGAATCGCAAGTGGTGTACGGTACGTAGGTTGGTCGTGGAAGACGCAGGTAGGATAGCTGGTGTATGAAAGGATATCAAGGTGTTAAGGTGAGGCCTTGAAGGTATTCGCCACGGGTTGGTGAGGAGAGAAGAGAAGAGGAGCGAGGAGGAGAAGTGAAGGCGTAGGTCTAGGGAACGAAGGAGTGTACGGTAATGTTGCAGAGAGAATAAGGTAAGGTGGTGATGTCGATGGCCGCTAGTAGATCAAATGCGTCTTTGCGCGCAGACTGGTGGGGAGACTGGGAGAGACTTCTGCGCCTTAAGCTTTCCACCTGCGTGGGACGTGGATTCGGGGGCGCTGAATCTGGCTCTGGCTCTGGCTCTGTTGGCGGGGCCGGTGCGTTGTTTCCCAGTGATGGTCCATGGCTGGGGAGGGGGGGGGTCTTATGGGCCTGCCTTTTTCATGGGCTTTTCTTGCACCGGATTTTGAGAACCTTGATGGCCTTTCCCAGTCAGACTCGTCACCTTACTGATTAGTATTATGAGGGAGTCTCATGTCCCGACAGAGTCCGTTTCCCTTCCATTCTACCTTGCATGCTTTCTTCTGATTTGGTCTCGTACCTACAGGCTGGTGCTACTAGGTTTATTCATCCTTCTTTTAGTCGATTGCCGCCCTGCAGCTTGCCGTCTGACCCTCCCCGAAAGCAACCCACCTTTTCTTCCTTTCTGATGCAGGAAACATGCGGCTCTTTTTCTAACGAGAGTTGAAGCGATGAACCAGCCAACACTAGGTACACTGAGAACGTAGGTTGTTTCGATCCTGCTGAGCCGGGCAAAGTCACGAAACAACGCAGAATGGTGCTATTGTTCGCCCCTTTGTTGGGGATCCCTCGCCCATGTCCCAGACCGAGTCAAGGCATGTTGACAGCTCACGTCCGTGAATGGATCAAGTCTTGGCTTTGAGAACCCGGATGGCGGGACGAGGTATCCACGTACCATACCTGACCTTACGAAGTACCTTATTCCTCGAGCCCCGTGATGTGCGCTAGCCGCCAACTCACTGAAGCCGCCCGAAGCGCCCTGCTAACAGAGAAGACTGCGCAACACGTGAAAGATCTATATTGCAATTGTGGTAGAAGCGGCATGCTAATGTTGTGTCTTATTTGAATGCTTGATGCCAGTAGGCCAGGATCCCTCTCCAAAAAGAGAGTTTACGTCGCGCGCGCAGGGCAGAAATGCGCCGCGAATCGGAGACTGGGATTTGGTCATCCGCTAGGCCCCGCCCTCACCGAGATACCGATCCCGGTGAGTATGTCACACCGAAGTCGTCGACCTCAACTTTTCCCATGGGCCCCTGCTCTGGTTTCCTTCCCACCCCACATCCACGGTCCACCTGCCTCACGCCGGCAAATGCTCGGGACAAGGAAGCTGCGTGGCTGCATCTCCTGCCGGCTGCCGCACTGAGCTGTTCCTTTTCCGAGTAGGTCCCTGGAAATCGCCGCCCCGGGCTATGCGCTGCCGACCGTTGCCCAAAATTTTCCAGCTCCGAGCTCCAGATCCCCGTCCCGTGAGGTGAGACACCCACCACACCAACACCAGCAACATCATCACATGCCCTCTTCTCCTTGCCCCGTGGCCAGAGTAGTGTCAGCAACAGCGGATCCTTGAAATCGGGCAACTTTTCCAACTCCCTCTTCCACCATCATATCGTGTCAGTTGCAAGAGACAAATTAAAAAAAAGGCCGATACCGTCTCCCCACGAACCGAACCGTCGCCATGTCGAAAACCACTTCCATCGCCCTCATGGCGCTAGGCGCCGGAGGCGGCGCCGCGCTCACGGCCTCGATCTACTCCATGCGCTCCCAAAAGCAACCTCCCACCGCGACGACAACGGCACCGACGACAACCTCCTCCTTCTCGACAGCTCCCACCGTCCCCGTCCCCAGCACGCAAGTCTTCGCCAACCCCAACGCCGTCCCGCTCCCTCCCTCACCCTCCGGCGGCCCGGGTCCCGTTCCCGTAGCGTCAGGCAGCCCCGTCGACCCAGCAGGCATCTTCGAATACGGCTTCCCGGGTCCCGTAGCCGACCTCGCGACCCGGCAAGGGCTCGTCTCCTCCTTCGACCGCCGCACCCGCAACCCGCACTACGTCGTCGAGCACATCACACCCGCCTCCCTCGCCCAGCGCGACGGCGACCGCAAGCACAGCGTCTTCCTCGAAGACGCCTCCGTCCCCGAAAAGTTCCAGGCCAAGCTCAAGGATTACTTCCGCAGCGGCTACGACCGCGGCCACCAGGTCCCCGCCGCCGACTGCAAGTGGTCCCAAAAGGCCATGGACGACACCTTTTACCTCACAAACATGTGCCCGCAGGTCGGCGACGGCTTCAACCGCGACTACTGGGCCCACTTCGAGGACTTTTGCCGCCGCCTGACGACGCGGTACCCGTCTGTCCGCATCGTCACCGGACCCTTGTACCTCCCCAAGCGCGACCCCGTCGACGGCAAGTGGTACACCAAGTACGAGGTCATCGGCAACCCGCCCAACGTCGCCGTGCCGACGCACTTTTACAAGGTCATCTTCGCCGAGGACGGGAAGGCCGGCGGCAACGTCGCCATTGGCGCCTTCGTGATGCCCAACGCGCCCATCCCCAACAGCAAGCCGCTGTCAGAGTTTGAGATGCCGCTCGAGGCCGTGGAGCGCGCTGCGGGACTCGAGTTCGCGAGCAAGCTTGCGCCGCAGCGCCGCAAGAGGCTCTGTACCGAGGCGACGTGCGCGATTGTCGTCAAGGAGTACGCGGATAGGCAGAAGCAGATTGGTGGCGGCGGCAAGGGCCGTTCATAGAATGGATCGGCGGGGTTGCTGAAGGATCACGGAGGAGTGCGTGGGGAGGTTGCTTTCCGATATGGACCGTTGGGGTTTCTTCTATTTGGCGGGGATTTAGCATGAGACCGAGCTGGCTCTCCATAGTTGTCCTTTGCTTTCACATATGTACCATTACTGTACCTTGGAAGGTGGAAGCGACCGAGGATAGAGAGAGAGAGAGACAGAAACAGAGCAGGGGTCGGCTGCATCGCATATTTGCATACACAGAGCTACGACACAAGCATCATGCGAAGGGATCCCAAGCCACAAGCAGTGGGGCACATGTACACTAGACAAGCCTGGTCAGTCGACAGTTGTCGACAGCATGCCTTCGCATACGTATATCATCACATTGTCCAAAGATGCAGAGTTCCTCGAGTACCGTGACTTGACTTGTGTGTTTTTTGGTTCCCCCCCAGCGCCGGGGTATCATCAACCCGTTACTTCCTCCTCAAAGCCACTATTCGTACACTGAAAGGACCGTCGAGTGCCGGAGAAATCCAAATCGACGACTTCCGAGTCGTATTTTGCCTCCCTACCACCCGTTTGCGGTTTCCACGCCCCCTACGCCCGCCCCAATTCTACTACAGTTTCGCTCGCCTAACGGGACCGCGTATAGTTCCCACGTCGCTGCTCCTGCTTCAGACTCTCCTCCTGACTAGGAAGCGGCGCCCGCCTGCCGCCACGGCCACCGTCGTCGCGGTCTCTGTGGTTGCTGTTGTTCGCGCCGGGAGGCGGCGGCATGGACATGGGCATGGGCGGGAACCCGGGCGGCGGCACGAAATTCGGCGGCGGCACCATGCCGGGCGGCGGCGCGAAGCCACCTGGTGGCGGGGGAGGTAAGGTGCCGCCGGCCTTTTGGATCATTTCAGCAATCTTGGCCAGGTCGGCTGGGTTGCTCGGGTCGATGCCGCCGGGGAGACCTGGGATCATCGGCGGCGGCGGTGCACCGTTTAGCCCGGGCAGGGGGAAGGGTAGGGGCGGAGGGGGTGCGCCACCTGCGCCGCCGACGCCGGGGATCATCGGCGGTGGCGGGACGGGACCGCCTGCGCCGCCGTTCTGCGGCATCGAGAGGCCCGGTAGGCCCGGTAGTCCAGGAAGACCAGGGAGGCCTGGGAACCCAGGGACCATGGGTTGCTTGAGAGGCATCTTCTGGTCGACGAGGCCGTCCATCTCGTCTTCCATCTCCATCTCCTCCTCCTCCTGACGCTGGCGGCGCCCGCCGCGGCGGTCCCATGTGCCGTTGGCCTCGGCGGCGGCCTCGCCGACGTGGTAGCGGTCCTGGAAGACGTCTGCGTCGCCGGGCCGCTTGCGAGACCAGAAGCGCGTGATGCGGTCGTTCGAGCCCGAGGCGAGGATGTGGCCTAGCGGGTGCCAGTCGAGAGACCAGATGGCAAAGTCGTGGGCAAAGGGGACCTTGTGGGCGGGATATATCGTCTGCGCCGGGGTCGTCGACGGGTCGGAGCTGTCGTAGGGAGCTACGGAGTTTGCGTGACCGGCGGGCGTGTTGGGCTCGTCTAGGATGTAGTGGTAAAGGGAGCCGTCGTGGCCGCCTGTGCTGAGGAGGTTGGAGTGGACTGGGTGCCAGGCGATGGTCGAAATGTCCTTTTCGTGGCCCTTGAGCAGGCAGATGTCGCGCATCATTCGGAGGTCGAAGACGCGGGCCGTCTGGTCTCGTGCTGACGTTGCCAGGCAGTCGCCCTGGACCTTTTCGAACAGCGTCTTTGTGATTGTGTTTTTGTGGCCGTGGAGGGTGGTCAGGCACCGGCCTGTCCTGGGATCCCACAGCTTGACCAGATGGTCTTTTGAGCCTGATACTAACAAGCCCTTTGTCGGATGCCAGTCGCAGCTCTTGGCGTCCCAGCCGTGGCCCTTGAGGGTCGACTCCTCCACTCCTCCAGCAAAATCAAAAATTTTGAGCGTCGAGTCGTCGCATGCAGTGACGAATTTGGAGTCGTTGGGGCTGAATGCGAGGTCTCTGACCGGGTCGTTATGTGCGGCGATGCTCTGAAGGTTGTTGAAATTGGGCTGCCAGTACTTGACGCTTCCGTCGTGGTCGGCAGAGATGAGCCAGTCGTCGTTGTGAGAATAGGCGAGAGCTCTGATGGCGGAATCGTGGGCCTGCATAATGGTCTCAAAGTTGAATCCGGTACCGTTCCATAATGTGAACTCTCCGCTGCTCGACGCGGTCAACAGGCGGCGTCCTTCTGGCGTCCACCTGACGACGTTGACCGGGTGCTTGATCTTGTTCAGTGATGAGTGTAGGTGCTTCACTGGGATTGTGTCACCGGGATCTGTCCTCCTCGCGGCGGGTGGTATGAACTGTGAGCATGTTAGTGTCAGGGATGCAGATGAGGAGAAGGCGGCCTTGTAGAGGACTCACATCAACGATGAAGCTGGCACTAGGCCTCTCGACTTCTCCGGTGTATGCATCGCCGTCAAGTGGCGAGCGATGGCGCATCCAGTTGGCGACGGTTGAGCCATAATCAGTAACAGGACCTGGGGACGTCAGTTATATGCTCGTGGAAGCTAGTCTTTGTCTCAAGCGCGCAGGAGTTTGAGATGAGAAGTCCAGATGGTGTTCGCCCCTGTCTCTCATCATGTAGGCTGAGGGCTTCCGCTCTGGGTATTCTACGCATGAGCTCGTGCTAGAGAATCTAGGTAAAAACTCACGTCGACCCCTGGCTCTCACGAAACCGCCATCTTGGCCATCTCCATCACCGCCTGGGCCTCCTCCTCCTCCTCTCCTGCCATGGTGATCCCCTCGAGGATCATACGCCATCTTTAAACTCTCATGAGGGTTTCGCAATCTCTCTTTGTTGATATTGAGCTCATATGTAGTTTATGGCTGATGAAATAAACCCCGAAATTTCAGTAAAATGTGAATTGGCGCTTGTTGGTGAGGGAGCTTCAGCATTGTTCGGTTCCACGAGGTTGGTACGTCGCCAATGACAGTGAAAACGACCGCGACGCGTGCACAGGCCAGCTACTTTTCTCGCAGTCACATGACCCAGGGAGCTGAGAGCTGGGAGCTGGGAGCTCTGCTGTGGACTGAAGGAAGGATGCACAGAGGCACGTCCCTTCCAACGTCGTCAATTTCGGTCGATGAGCTAATGCAGCCTGGGTACGTACCCGCTCACTTCCCGGGAAAGGTCGACGGCCCACGGTTTTTATCGGTTTTCTTATCCGGGCCAATATCGGGGCGCCCATGTCCCAAATTTCCATTCCCATGCCGCGAATGCCCAAAAATATCCCGCGATTCTTCGTGAGGTGATAATTTATGGCAAGGTGCGATTTCTTCTGGCCCCTCTCCCCACTGCCCAGTCAGTCAGGCACTTTCACATGTGATTTTCCAGTTGCAAAGCCACGGCTCCCTCCTCGTTTTTCTCTAGACTCTGACTCCCAAGTTCCCTGGACCCACGAGGTGAAGCCCATGTTGGACCACTCAGAGCTGCCACCGGGGATCGCCGTCACTATCCGTGGAGCCGTAGAGACCCTTGGCGTGCATTGGATGCATGCGACTTTTCTCTCTCTCTCAAGGCCTCAACTTGCCTAGGCTGGCGGCGTCAGGATGCAGGATGTGTTGGGTGATTTTAAACACAACGGGCTTTTTGCTCTCTGTCTCTCTGGGCTGTCTCCTTCTCTGCGGTCATGCATTAGCGCTGGCTTTGAGGCGCTCTCCGTTGATCCAGCCAGGTTCCGGGTCAGACAGCTCAACGACCCTGACATTCTCAAGGTCCCCCCTTCCAATCCCGCCCCAATGGGCCGTGCCATCGTATCTACCTTACCTTACCTTAGTACCTTGGCCCGTCGTCACTCGTCTCTCTCTTTTTCGTAAATTCTGTTTTGTTTACTTCATCTCTCCTGCATTTCCATGTCTCTGATCAGTTCTCTGCATCGCATCTCTTCAACTGGCCCGTCCTGCACGCCGTCTGCATTCTTGTCGTCAGCGCGCCTCCTCTTCCATCATTCCTCCACGTTGATGAACGAATCCCCACGCTACAAGGTCTGATGGCGTCGGCCTAGCTTCCTCCACCTGGTTTTCCCTCCGACTACATACCTCACTTACCTTTCCCCCCCCCCTGTGCCTTGACGTACCCCCTTCTTTAAAGCTACCTCACCACTCAATCATTTTCCTGCACCTCAGCCATTGCCCCTCACCAGGCACAGCCAAAAAGCCAATGCGCCCTACCTGGACCTTCCAATCCAGATAAAATAGCTTCTCCTCAGTTCTGAAAGGAGCTCAAATCGATTCGCGGGCGCCGTCCGTTTTCCCTTTGGAAACGCCGGCTACAAAGTCAATCCGTACTCTTCATCTTGCCTGACCCGGCCGCGCGCGGTGTCTTGCATTAGAGATCTATACTAACGAGTCCGATATCTTATCGCGCTTGCCACCACTTCACTCCCTGCATTGCATATACATAGCTCTTCCCTGACAGCCTACCTACACGTCTCCTCACTTTATACTTTCACCCATCTTTCCCCCTCGTCATCCACTACGGCCGCTTTTCCTTTTTTCCTCCTCCTCTCTCTCTTACATTCTTGTTGAGGACCCAATAGCTCCAGGGACGTCTTGCCCGTCATGAACACGGCTACGGTGACGAGCCTTGAGAGCTCAAGCACCACCACTACCTCCTCTCTGCGTAACAAGCACAATGGCACCTCCAATGGCACCTCCAACCCCAAGGCCGCCGTCAAGCCGACTACTACACCCGACACCAACCGCACGACCGACGAGCTGAGGAGGGCTATTCAAAAGAAATACAGACACGTCGCTGCCGTCCACTCCAAATCGCGCCCATCAACCCTGAGCCATGACTCTAACACGGCCCCGAGCTTCATTGGCTTCAGGAACTTAATGATTATTGTATTAAGTACGTCGAGCCGATGCCGGAGCTGCTTCAATGGCATTGGCTAACCAAGCATAGTTGTCGGTAATCTTCGTCTGATGATGGAGAACATTCAAAAAGTAGGCTTCA